CCCCATCCACACCCCCACCCACACCCCCCAGTGTCTGGAAAGATTGAAAGATTGGCAGTGGGGAGTGAGTGGTTAGTGAATTCATGGTGACTTTATTCATCACTATGATCAGTGTCCACATTTTTAGGGTGGTGGTCTGTCATCTTTAGTTTGCTTGTAGTTTTTTGGGGTTTTTTTTCTTTTTTTTGGTAGATAACTCAGAATGATTTCTAGTGTGGGATGTTAAAAAGGAACCATAAAATACCACACTTGGATTTCTTAATTGTGCTATTTTTAAAAATAATAGGACAATTGATATTTGAGTAAATCTTTTACATCATTCATGAAATTTTCAAATTGAAGTATACCACACCATGATTTATACCAAATTTGCCCCATTTTTTTCTCCACTGATAATCGCAAACACTGGGCTTATATTGCTGCATTTTCTTTTCTTGGTTGTGGATTTCCATTTCAAACATCCCACAGCCATAGACTCAAACCAGAAGCAAAAGGCTGGATTCTTATGAAAGAGGACTTTAATCTAGGCTTCCTCGATTTCCAGCTTAAAGTTTTCTGTTGTTATCACTAAATAAGAGGCACATTTTTCAAGCTTCGTTTTTGGTTGGAGGTGGTACCCAGCCTAAGAAAATTTTGAAATTGGGTAACCCACCATTACTTTATTTTAAAAGTAAAATTACTCTTATCCATAAATAAAATATTTAGAAATATTTTTTCAACACCTGTAATTTTTTTCTCATCTTCAACAGTCACAGTTGCAGATTATATTTCTAGAGCTGAGTCTCAGAGCAGACAAAGAAACCTCCCAAGGGAAACTTTGGCTAAAAACAAGAAAGAAATGGTAAGGAGAATTTAAACTGTAGGTTTTGTTGGGGTTTTTTTTTTTTTGGTTTTTTGTTTTGGTTTTTTGGTTTTTTTTTTTTTTTTGGTATGATTTAGCTTTATTTTTACTTAACTTTCTATATGATCACTTGTTTCCCCAACTAGAAGAAGAATATTTTAGTTAAAGACTATTCTTGAGTTTGTTGTTGGTCCCAGGTAATTGAAGGTATGCATGCTTGAGCCTGAAATACTTTTCCATTAGAACCCTAACAAGCATTTATAAAATTGAGTCTGCCCAAAGATACTGGGTACATAGACTGTTGCTTAATTTGAGGGAGCAGTAGGCTAGATACCTCTTCTCAATGATGGATGTAGACCTTTACATTTCAATTCTTTTAAGTGCTTTAAAGGATTTAATATATAAATATGAGTTTAAAAAAAGGTGAGTAAAATAGGTAATTATTTGTTTTACTTAGGGTATTAACTGTTTATACCTTGCACATGTTAAGCTTTCCAGTGGTTAAAATAAAAATTTTAAATTAAGTACAAGTTTTCATTAAACAAGTGTAGATTCTTCCTGTAGTTTAGGTGCTGCTAGGTACTACAGACAGTTGAAAGACCCAGAGAGGTGAAGTACATTATTTGTTTTGAATTTTAAGAACATTTGAATTATTTGATCCATTGTGGTATCTGAAACTAAAATTATTAGCTAATTAATGTTTATGTAGCTATTTTCCTCCTCAGCTATAGATGTCATTTATAAAGAAGTTGAAAAAGTTGTCTCCCTTTGGCAGGCAAAAGATGTGATTGAAGAGCATGGTCCTTCAGAAAAGGCAATAAATGGCCCAACTAGTGCTTCTGGCGATGAAATTTCTAAGCTACAGCGTACTCCAGGAGAAGAAAAGATAAATACCTTAAAAGAAGAAAACACTCAAGAAGCAGCAGTCCTGAATGGTGTTTCATAAACTGAAGAAGTTCCTAGTTTACAGTTCTTTTTACATTACATTTTACAATAGTGCTTGTACAAGCTTGCCAAAGATAGAATATGGATCGCCAGTCTTTACATCGCACTTTCAGTTCCTCCATTTGGAATTCAGAAAGGGGAGGGATCCTGAAGAAATCATATGTTAAACATACTTTGACACCTACTGTGTTATCAAATATATCATCAGATGTGCCTTGAGAATAGTATATGTAACATTAAAAAAAGTTGCTGGCTATAGGAAATGTTATTTTGTTTTCAAAATATGGCAGAGATGGGGGGAGGTGGGTGGGGTGGGATCCCTAACGTAATATTCTTTATGAAAGCATTAGCTGCTTTTGTTACATTTTTAATAATATGCAACCACTTCTTCACCTGAGGAAAACTAGAGTGAAATGCAGTCTAAAATATTTTGCACTGAATTGTAATTTCTTCATTAGTTTAGTCTGGAAACTGGTCTGTTTTAATGTGTTTATAAAGTGCTGTATGTAGAGAAAAATCTGCAGACCACTGGAATACATTTGTTAAACTCTCATCTGCAGGGATACTGGGTGATATTGGCAGTGACTGTTCTACATTGAGGCTTTGTTTGGTTTATTTATTAAAGTGTACAGTATTTAAAAATCAAACATAGCTTTAGTTAAACACTAAGCTGAATTAGTCATGTCCAGACATAACCTGAACTACTGAAAAGATCAATTTCCAGAAGGTTTATTCTGTATAAACTACATGTTAGTCTTCAGTAGAGTATCTTTTCTTTTTCTTATTTTTATTTTTATTTTTATTTTTTTGATTTTGGTTGTTTGATGTGCAATATGTTTTTGTATGCAGGTAGTAAATAAACTTTGATCTTCCATTTGCTGATTTTTAACTTTCTACTTTTTATACCAACTGTTGCAAAGTAGTTGGAGCGATGTATAGGCTTAGAATAGTATCGTGATTGCTTTTTTAAAAAAAGCAGTTATATTTGTTCATAATATATTTAACTATTAGTTGGTCAGTTAATCATTTTGTAATGAATACTCTGAAACCTTGCACTAGTCTTTTGAATGGAATAGCTTAGGGAATTGATCATACATTTGATATTAGGGAAGTCTTTGTAACAAAGTTCTAATAAAAGGCAACTTTTGGAAGGCAGTGAGATAAAACCTAGAATTTTACTTTTGCCTTAAAAATTTTTAGAGAAGTATGAGTAATTTTTAAATATGGAATAGGTTACTGATATGCTTTTTGATTATCAAATAATTTGAAGGTTCATGCTAATGATTGTACTTTTTACATATATTTTAGCCAGATGTCTTAATTTTAGGAAGATTTTCATAAGTGTGTTCTAAAAGGTAACAAATACAATAATTTATGCTGCTAATTGTGAGGTCATATAAAATAATTGTGGATTTATAGGAGGGTTTGGCTCTATTATTTAGACCAGAGTAAGAAAGCCCTTTGTTTTTTTTTTTTATGTGCATAATTTGTTATGTGCATAAAAATGTTGTGATTTTAGTTAATAATGACTGAAGATGAATTCAAGGTATAGTTAAAAATGAAATAATTGCCAGGTCAGTGTATATAACCCTACCCTCAAATTTATTGTCGAGGTTAATGTGTGATGGTATTAAATGCTTAATAACATTTATTGAAGTGTGTTGTGAATAGTGCAAACTTTGCACTTTGAGTAACAATATCAAATAATTTCACATCCTGATTTTTAAAAATTACAAATGTATTTTTATCCATCAAAGTTAGAAACAAGTAAAATTGTTGGCCTTTTTATTTTTGGTTCTCTTCAGTGATAAGTTTACAGATTAGCTATAAGGTATGAAAAAATGTTCATTAATCCCCGAATTGGTGAATATGGTATAAAGAAAAAAGACACTTTTATTTTCTTCGATGTAGAACAGATTCACTAAAATTCTTTTTCCATAAAGATTGTTTCAATAGGAAAGGAAGAAAGAGGAGACAGTCTTAAGTGGGTTTAGCCTCACCTGTTCATCAGACTAGAACTAACAACTGCATTCTGGGAAATAAGTATTAAGAGTTCATTAATTACAGATTAATAAACCCAATGTTTTTTTTTTTTAAAAAAATACATGTACTGCAGAATCATGATAGGCTGTTTTTGAGTAAATAGCACATGCTCTGAGTGAAAAGCCCACTCCATAGGTAACATTGCTGGTTCAGGTAGCCTTCTAGAATCATACTGAGAGGGGTGCATCTTTTGGCTGCTATACTGGTTAGAATTTGCTATGGGAGAACTTGCCAGTACAAATTAAACCGACAAGCAAAACATTCTAAAGGTCTTGTGCAGCTCAAATATTCTATCAGCATACATATGTGAAATCATGGATTCTGAACTAAATCGTGAAGTAGGAACTGAGATTATGTTGGGACAAAAATGATCTGCTTTTCCTGAAACCTTGGAAAGTGTAGGATTCTTGGGTTTGGCATCACCTTTTTTAAGCCTTCAAAGGCCTAAAACTCTTTGCAAAATGGTGTGGGTCTATTGACAGATGAGTTAACCACTGGTAATATAGTAGGGGATACACAGTTATCTTAATTTTAAGTAAATATTTTAATATGAAGAGAAGCAGCACATCAAACCAGTACATTCATGTAAGCTTATCTGAGACGTTAGAACAAGGCTGAGAGAAGGTTGTATAAATGTAATTTTTAAAAATGTACAGGTATATGTAGGCAAGCAAAATAACTGAAGAACAGGGAAACAATGAGAAGGAGGGGAGGCAAAAGTAGCTGGTGTTTTACTTTTGTATTCTGGATCTCCATCTCAGCCATTCTGTAGTGGCTGGGATCCATCACCCTTCTGCCAGTGGTATTTTTGTAGCTATGAATCTAGTGTTTAAACTGAGAAGGGTCTCTTGCTTGCAAAGTTGGCATGTTAACTGAATGTTGCAGTTAGATTGGGAAATAGAACCATTTGTGTCCTTTGCAAACAGATTTACACTTGAGTTTGAAACTAACTAGATATTCTCATAGGCTGTGCCTACAATGGAAAACTAGCTATAATTCAAGTAAGTCTATGTTAGATGATTGGTGCTTATTGGAAATGCGAGTAAAGGAAAATTACACTTGGATTCTCTAGAGTCAACAAGGGACTTGGGTTTGAAATTGATCTATGGGATTGGCAAAATTACTAAAGGCCAAAAAAGGATGTTTGCTGTAAAGTCCCATTCATTCTTCCTGTCCTCACTATTATGATTTGGAGTCCCTGTACCCTTTTATAAGGATATCTGGCACAATGAATTTGCTCCTTATTTAAAAATTTTGGTTCTTTATTAGGATGTATTCTTGTATAGATAGTAATCACTTACATTCCATGATTAACCTATGACAGTATTTGAGTATTCAGGAACTGTTGCAATAAGTCAGTTACAATTTGCTATAAACTTTTGACAAGTGACAGTAATTTGAAATTGCACTAAATGCTGGTTGAAAAGTTACATTGAATCATGGGAAATTGCCAGTAGTTGACTGATTTGACTCAAAACAATGGCAATTCCCTATGGTTCAACCTAAGACGTCTTTAAGTATAATCCTTTACTCTAGAAACCCAAGCAAGACTAATCCAGAAAACCCCAAATTACTGCATAAGGGAGGTACATGTCATCTTACAGGGAAATAGAAAATTTTTTTAAAGGGTTTTATCAGTGGGTCATTTTAGAGTCAGATTCCTATGATACTTTTTCAAATACTAAAATAAGGTGCATAATAATGCCCCAGAATAGTGCAGCTTTTTTCTTTGAGAATGAAAAGATGTTGTAGATTTAAGTACAGAATTTGGAGTTATCTTTTTCTGTATTCTATTTCATCTAATTAGAGAAGGCTGGACTGGCTCATCTAAGGGTCTTTCCAGTATTCATGTAACTTGAGTCTATTCATATGTGGGACCCAGGATAACAACTATATCCCAGGTACTCTGAAAAAGGAGTATGCTGAATTAAAATTAGTGTTTCATGTATGTGTTCATCCCAGACATTTCCAACTATGCTGTATGCAATCTAAAGCAGGGGTCCCTAACCCCTGGCTACAGGTCTGTGGCCACACAGCAGGAGGTAAGTGGCTGGAGAGCAAGAAGCAAAGCTTCATCTGTATTTGCAGCCATTCCCCAGCACTAGCATTACAGCCTCAGCTCCATCTCAGATCATCACGTATTAGATTTTCATAGGAGTACCGGTCCCTGGTGCCAAAAAGGTTAGGGACCGTTGCTGTAAAGGATATCAGACACAAGGGCAAAATTATTTTCCACTGACATTCTTTGTGTTTCAGGGAGTGATGTCCTTTTTCTTTTTTTCTTTTTTTGGCAGGAGGTGGAGGGAATTACAGGGATATTTTCTAAATGTTTTGTATCCTTTTTACTTTGTCAAATGTTAACTATACATTTTCTAGTACAGAGACTATTTTCATTACAAAAACGTTTTCTATAGTTTTTCTAGATGAATCATTTTATAGTTAATTGTTGCCTGGAGCTCATACCTCAACCTCTTTGAGCTCTGTTTTTCAACTTGCTTGTTTTCAGGTTGTAAAGAAAAATGCCATGTACACATTCCATTTGAAATTCCATTAATTGAAACCACTAAAGGTAACAGCAAGTGTTAGTACATTCCTATTATACCTTAACACTGGACTGACTGTCTTCATTGGGTCAGGAATAATAGCTAACACTGGATAGAAGCTCTTTCTATATCACGTTGCTAAGGCAACAGTTGTCTCTAAGCAGATACATAGTGTCAAGAACAGTGTCCGCAACACAAAGAGTTTTAGGTCATTTAAATTTCCTGGTACTTAAGTTTACCCTCAATCCAGGATTCTTTATATAACCAAAAACTATCATTCTAAATAGTGTTTTTTACTTTGCCTCAGATTTACTGATATTTTTTCCAATCACATTCTCTTCTTTGAATTTTTTGAGCCAGTTTCTAAGTTTTTAAAAATTGGAATTAATGTCTCATAATATATGACCCCACTGTAAACTTCTGATCTGCAACTAAACAACTTATAGGTCATTATCAGAAAGATGCCTTATAAATTTTCATTGAAATGGAACTCAGTATTCTAAAGTGTTGAACTTTAAGACGATGCTTTAAATGGAACATTCTGCCTAATTTTTAAAATTATTTCTGATGCAAGATTTTAAGGTAGGGCATACATGTTGAGTATGCTCAATGTAGCTTTTCAGTATAGCATGTCATCTTTATGGTTTTACCCTTATGTTAAGATGCTAGTTAGCTAATTTTTCCCAGTTCTCAATGGTTTTGCTTCTAGCTAGCTGCCTTCTACCTTTCTATTATAATTTATAGCAAACTAAAGATAGCAGAGAATACCACACCCAAGCTTCTAGAATCAGTATAGGTATTGGCTTGCATTCCATCTATTTCCACAGAAGTTCTCAATTACTTGAATGGTTCGAATCTTCTGGAGTAACTATTTTTCTTGTTTTTAAGTGCTTCCATTGGTGTTATCATCCGGAAGATACTTGAAAGCAAGATAATTTGCTTATTCTAAGTCTCGGGAAGATTTAACTTTGAGGACCACTCATAGCACATTTTAATCACCAGCAAAGCAGTTTTTATAAAGCAAAGTATCACACTCACCTCAGGAGTACCACCAAGGAAAACATAACTGGGTTATGATTTGTGAAAAGTACCACAGTGAGAGGTTAACAGCATGGTACTTTGGGTTTGAGAAATATCAGTCTTAACCCTGCATGCTGTTTGGAGCAAGTTACTTAAACTCACTCAATTTCAGTTTCCTTACTTGTAAAATGTAGTGAATAATGGTAACTACAATTGAGATACAGCAGGTCTTTAACATTTTGTTCGTCATTTTGTTGAGAGATGCAACAAGAACTCGATTCCTCAATAGCCTATGGTATAACTGGCTTTGTTATGTGTTTCTTAAAGTCGCAGAACATATTGAGATATTAAGTGAGGACTTTTACTGTACAGAGAAAGTGCTTAGCACAATGCTAGCATATTGTAAAGTAATGTTAACATTACACATCAAATATTTTGTGAGAAAATGCCATTAAAAAGGTACTCTTACAGATCATACTTGCATCAGTTACCCACTATAATCTAGAGCCCTTACTTAGATGATTTTTTTCCCCAAGAAAAACAGTAGGTTTGCCTAATAGCCATCAATGAAATATGGATTCTTCTACTTAAAAAAGGTAAGCCTAGAGAAACAAAACTGATTACTATGAAAAATGTGCTGCTGTGCTCCTCAGTATTAAAGTGGTTTCCATTGTCTTAATACTTGTCTTAAAACAGGTATGCTATTTAAACACTCAAAAGTACTTATACCCACTACATGAAGTTTTTTTATAGTTAATGCTTGATTGCCTACTGGCATATTATCTCACTTTCTATTTGGCTTTGAAAATTTGCTTTTAAGTTTTAATTGATACTATCTCTTTAACTAAAGCTTTTGTTCATAGAAACATTTTATAAGTCCAAAGGACTGAAATAAAAGGTCAGCAAGCCAAAATACAGTTGGTCCTCATTATTAGCAGATTCCTTATTTACAAATTCATCTACTCAAATTTATCTGTAACTCCAAAATGAACACTTGGGGTGCTTTCTTGGTCATTTGTGAACATACAGAATGGTCAAAAATTTGAACCACCTGATGCCCACACAGTGATGCTCTGCCTTGTTTCAGTTTTCAAGCTATAACCAAGTCTCCTTTTCATGATCCATTTAGTGTCAAGTTTTTCAACTTTTATGCCTTTTATTGGTGATTTCTCTGCTTAAAGGGGGCCCCAAGCTTAGGTGCTGCCTAATGTTCCCAAACACAAGATGTCTGTGATGTGCTAGCATGAGTTAGGGTTGTTGGGCTGTTGACTTTACATTAAGGAATTGATATTTATCAAATAAGGGATCTTTAAACAAACAAATAAAGCAAGGTTTTATATTAACTGTTTGACAAAAATGTGACCAGAGGCTCGTAGGAACCTATATATCCCCTAAGAACAGTGGTTCAGTATTTGCTAATCAGTGTTCTTAGAGACTTTATAGAACACAACTGCCTAAAATAGTAAAAACTATACCTTCCTACCCTATTTCCCTGGAAATAACTAAAAATATTTATCCTACACAAATGCCATGGCTGCTTTAAGCTGGTGCCTCATCAATTCTAAAATATAACAAAGGGGCTTGATAAGATTTTAAACAGGATGAAAAAGATGTATCTCCAGTTTGAAATGCACCTAAACACATTCCAACACTAAACATGATTACTTCCATTATTTTGACCTTGAAAGTCTGTGTTCTCCATTAACATTAGAATGATTTAATAAAGTTTAGATGGTAGTTAGTATAATCATCTTAAAGCTAAACATACTAAGTACTGCTGGAGACTAGACTTTATTTACCTTGGGTGTTTTATACAAGTCCTTCGGTTAAGATCCTTACATATTTTATGTTAGACCAATAGTAAGCCATTTCCCCCCTTAAGTGTCATTTAAATATACCTGTATAAATTTTCAGAGTTCAAGCTAACAAATGCATAATTTGATTATGTAAAAAAAAATTTATAATGGTCAGTTTCTTTAAGGGGCTAGCTGAATACAGTGTAAATACTTGATTAAAAATAAGATCTGTATTCTCAGATCTTTTTATCAAGTTTTTAATGTATGAAATCTGAATTGACAGTGATATATACATACCTAGGTCAATTTCTTAGGTCAAAGTTGTGGCTAAATACACTTTTAAATAAAGTGTTCCAAGCAGCTGTTGCAGTTCTCTGTACCTTGACAGCCTTTCTTTCCAATGCGAAGATTCCCTACTATAACTACCTGTGCAAATTCCATCATAGTATTTATCACATTGTATTTTAATTACCAGTTTAACAGTTTCCCATTAGATGGGGGCTCCTTGAGAGCAGACTGTCCTGTTCACTTTGCCTTGAAGTAGACACTAAATTATTTGCTAAATAAGGAACAGTATTTCTATTATAATGGTATGTATTTATCCATAATTATTGAGCATTAATCTCCAAATATTCTATAATCTGATTCAAAAATCTTCAAATTTAAAAGAAACTTATACCAAGGCTTTTAGTTTGTGCTAAATCATTTAAAATTTGTGGCTTCAAGACATTTTATTATGAAAAGCTGGTAACTCATATACATAAACGAATAAGAACTTAAACTTCATCGTACATTTACTTCATTTTCTAGCTTGACCTTCTAGTAAATCTTTAGCTTCATTGATTTTGGCTGCTATATAAGGAGATCCTCCTATGGGAAGAAAGAAAAAAGGAATAGTTACAATATGGATTCTCAATTTGGTGCAAAGGTATTCTCTTTTCAAATATCCCTGTGCTTATCTGAGAGGTGGAATTAGCAGAAATGGTATTCCAGTTTTTTAAAATAATTATGACACTATAACTGGATAACCAAAAATATATGGTGCAATATTTGACCAATGGGAAATGAGGCAATTCACATGAGGGAGATTTCCACAAAAATGGCACTGTTCAAAACTTAAACTGATGACAAGAATAGGATTTAAAAAAACCCATAGACTTATGTAACTTTGAAATAGTATGTTACCTATTCATGATTATAAATCATAAATGAACAGCAATTTATTGTACTGTGCTATTTTAAAACCATGATATTCTCAGAGGCTTCTAAGCTTTGTTGGAAAGACCCAAATTTGCTTGAGATCCTTTTTCTGCCCCTCATAGTTTTCCTCTTCCTGTTATTAATTGTGCCTTCACAATGTCATCTACAGTCACTTTCCTACCGATCTGGAGCAGTGATTCTCAGTGTGGCCCTCAGACCAGCAATCATCAGCATCAATAAGATTGGTAGAAATGCAAATTTATGAGTTCTACCCCAGACTTGAATCAGAATCCCTCCCGTTAATAGAAGCTACATTTCATAAAAGAGGCTATGCAAAACACTTACAGCTCTGTTTAAATTCAAAACTCTCTTTATGAAAGGCCTCTCATATAAAAGTAAAAGGACATGAGCACTAGAATATGGATTTTGTGGTCTATATTTTGGTATTCCAAGGAATTGGTTCCTTTAACACATAGCTAAGGCTGCTTAAGAAGCATATAATACATTTCTAACTAGGTAACCTCTAGTTAAAGGTCTAAACAAAAAGGAAAAAATTAATTTTTACCTTCATAACTGAAATTGAACATTTCCTTTAAGAATCTACACTGAACCCCAGTCCCCCAAAACAGTAGGATTAGTAGTATTTGACTACTACAAGTCAAATTTTATCACAATCGCAGATCTCAAAACATTGTTAATGCTTATCACTACTAACAAATTACAGTAGTTATTAGATATCTGGTCATTATTCCATAAATAAAATTTTTACTCAGAATTTATCCTTTTAAGAAACCAGAAAGAAAAATGGATGTAGCCTGGGAGACAGTACTCACATACAGATTTAGGTATTTTCCTTATTATAGCTAAGAATTAGATACAAAGGTAGTCCATTAATAACAATTACATAGTCCAACAACATGTATAACAAGAGTTTAATGACTACTTACCCTTGTCTGGGTGATTTAAAAGCATAATTCGTCGATGAGCATCTCTTATTTTTCCTTTATTGGCAGTAGGGCTAATTTAAAGAGAAAAAGGTAATGTTTACTTTAGATTACTTCTGGATCACGTAAAAAAATTGTACATTAAGGGCCAAGTGAAGATGTGAAACAGTATGAAAAGCTGTTTAGAAACTTTTTCCCTACCATACAGAGATGATTAATACTCTGAATTTAGGGAACTAAACAGCTCCCTAGAAAAATAAGTAATTTTCAAACAATTTAAACTTGATATTATGACAGTCCTATTCTTGAAAAGGAAAGTATGTTTAAGTATTTCTCCCCTCAAAAATGTTATAGAGAACACTGAATACTATGATTATATGGTACAAGTCTATCATTGTACTTTTGAAGGGAGTGTTTAGATGTTAAAAATGTACATAATATAAATAACCCCCTCCTAATATAAGGTCTTATATTTGCTAATAGCTCTATAGAGTTGTAGAAAATACTAAAAATATTAGAAATTTTACCTTACACCTAGTATTAATGCTGCTTCTCGTTTTGTCATTTTGGGTTCAAACCCACCTCTGTAAAAGCCACCACTGAAGGCCTGAAAGAGGAAATACATTAGTAAGAAAAGATTCTTAGAAAAAACAGATTTGCTAAAAAATGTCTGTAAATGTTCACAGAACTATCAGAAAAACTAAGTTATTTCAGGTAACTAATTCTCATGGTATTTTTTAATGATCATTAAACAGATCCATTTTTTTCCTAGACAACCTAAACTCTTAAAAATATAAGACAAAAGAACAGTGCCTCACAGGCAGTTTTTTAGGGAAGTGAAGGGAAGATTATTGCAAGTTAGCCATGTTCTACATATAAATTTGATCTCATAGTATGACTATAACGAGAACAAGAAATGCCTCAAGAAGAGGATTTAGAGATCTTTTAAACAAGCAGTTCAAGGGTATCTTGAGGTTTACACCTCTGCTCCAATTCTGTCGCACATAACATCTGACTTTAGGGTACCACTACTACAAAGTTCAGAACTTCTAAACTCTCCTGTGGAAAGTAAGAGAAGAGGCCCAAAGTAATCAGAATTTTATAGATGTTTGGAATTTTACAGATGTAAGGCAACTACTAAAGACTTAAAATTGGGGTATTAGGTTTTCTGACCTTGTGTCAGAAATATTGGTAAAGCCTACCATCATGCTATTTTTGTCATATTCAATCACAACAATAAAAATAGGCTGTCGAGCCATATTCATTCTGAACTGTGACCCAAATATGCTAGGGAGTGCCAGGGCTAAGAATGGATCACTTGAGATCTCAAATCTCTCTGTGCTTGTGATACAGAGCAGACTGGGGTTGGGGAGAGGGCTAGGCAAGGATGTGAACAGGTAATTCTAAAGTTAATACAATGTGAACAATAAAGTGATAGTAACTTTCATACTACAATTAACACCTCTGCTCCAATTCTGTCGCACATAACATCTGACTTTAGGGTACCACTACTACAAAGTTCAGAACTTCTAAACTCTCCTGTGGAAAGTAAGAGAAGAGGCCCAAAGTAATCAGAATTTTATAGATGTTTGGAAATTTGCCCTCTTCAAGTGCAGTTCTAGGCTTCATACACAAGCAGTAAAGAATCAGCAAAAATGTTTAGTAAATCTTACAGATTTTGGTAGACTTTGAAAAACTTGTTTTACTTGAGGCTCCATAAGCTTCATAGCTTGCAAAACATAACGGCCTAAAAATAAAAGCAATAGAATAATTAAAAAGTCCGCAACCTCCCTTACTTCATTTCCACCCCCTAAACCACAAACCAACCTGCAAATCCCGCAGCAGCAATGGTCAGTCCAACTGCTACCACTGTACTGGCCTGGAAATGGAAAGCAGAGTAAATATTTACTTCTC